TTTAACAACACCTTGTATACTACAAGAAAATTCTGGTCTCCAACTAAAAACTAGGCTCTAAAGATATGAAAAAGATTATCTAGTCTAAGAGCTTAGTGAAGCATGAGTCAAAGCAGAGAATGGAGTTATGATCAAACACTTTCTCTTTTGCTAGATATTCTTTGAATGCTTATAGGATTTCTCTGCTTTTGAACTCAAGAACTTATTTTCGAACTCATGCTTCAGCCTTCATTTATAGGCATCTCCGGTAGATTTATCTCATCCGTTGGTTGAGATGAATTAATCTTGTACGTTGAATCTTTGTTTCAGAAGATAACAACTTGTTGTTCGTCTTCTTCTTTGGAGCCGATAACTTTTCTTGTCTTGTTTGCCTAGCCACTGTAGCTTTTCCCTTTATAGGCAGCAAGTTGACTGTGCCTCCCATATTGTACGTCTTTGCATTAAATTCTCTCCATGCTGGGAATTCTTTGATTGGCTCCGTATAATCACGAGGAGATATAACAAAAATCGAACAGTTAATTTTTTAGTCTAATAAAATTTATACTGGTGGGATAAGAACATCCTTTTAAGGTAAGTGAATTTTACCTTATTGCATTTTTACTTTCCAGTACAAATTTTATTAGTCTTAAAAATTATACATTTATTTGTTCTCAATTAGTGACGGATTAAAACGTTTGTGATAAAGTAAATATATACCGGTAGGATTTAAATATCCTTTTAAGGTAATAAATTACCTTATTGCATTTTGACTTTTCCGGTATAATTTTCTTGACACAAAACATTTTACTTTTGGCTTTCGGTCACTCCAGCTAGTATTTAGAACATAAACTATTTATTTAACTGGTAGGATAACAAATCCTATTAAGGTAAAAATTATTACCTTATTGTATTTTGTGTTCCAGTTTAATAAATAGTTTGTTTCAAATGTTTTTGTGTTATTTGATGTATCAAATAAATTTAACTGGTAAGGTCTATAGAAATCCTTTTAAGGTAATAAAGTATTACCTTATTGCATTTTATATTTTCCGGTTAAATTTATTTGATAATTGATACTTTATACATAACACTTTCTAATAATACTTTACTAGCTTAGCCAACTGCCGGAATACATCATGTAGAACTATTTAAGTTAAATGCTACAAAAGAAGGGGGACATTTGAAAAGCTTTGGCATCATCAAAACTATTCATCAAAATCTAGGGGTCTAACAAGATAGTTTCCCACGTTGTAAAAGTCACCGGTGTTTGCTCCATGAACCATCCCCTTGCTGGCCCTTTCAAAGTGCAAGGAAAGCTTTTGAGTTTGATCGAGGTCGTCCTCGGAGAGACCATGCCTAGGAATTTCTTGGATGAATCCATAGAACTCGGTGATAAAGTTAAGTGGATTCTACCCCGGAAAACCATGAAATTGAGACATAGCATTGAAGTAGCTATTCTTCATTTCATATTCCCTTGCCGCCTCGCTTAGGACAATACATGAGGGAGTGGCGGCAACCACGGGCCTCTTCCTTTCATTGAGTGTTGACATCATTTTTGCTTCTTTTCTTTCCTTCCGGTTGTGTTTGAAAGTTGTTTCTATTTCAAGATCAATAGGTTCAAGATGTTTAGAACCTTGACTTCTCAAATGTATTCAAATACAAAAGATAGGCTACACATATGAAATGAAAAGTACCACAAGAACAAGTGAAAAGCAATGAGAAATAAAAAAATCAGGATTTTTTGATTGATTAATTATATATATATATTGACTTTATTAAACAAGACCGTTCCCCGGCAACGGCGCCAAAAACTTGACTGGGCTAAACTTGCAAGTGTACAAGTGCCGATATAGTAATAAATTTCAGTAAAATTCCGGGTCGAATCCACAAGGAAACGTTGTTTAATTTAAGTCCGAGAGTAGATAGCTTTAAATGAAGAAATGAGTAAAATGCAAGGATTTTTATTTGTGTTTTATATTTTTGATTTTTCACTTTTTGTTCAAGAAGATAATTGTTAACTAATTTTGAGTTTAAGAAGAATAGTAACAATAACTAAGGCTTCGGGAATCACTTAAATGCCTAAATAGGGTTAAATATTAGTTCTTTGCCAATAATTATGAATACAATGTCGCTAATATATTCTCAACTCCGGTTAAGGCAGCGAGAACGTGGTTTTCGTTACGTGTAAGTCCCGTTACGGCTTACATTCATCTACCGGAAACCCCATTGAATATCAAGACATCACACCCGTATCATATAAGGCCGGCTATATTTCTATTCTCAGTACTATATATATTTAGAGTTCATAGTTTAGAGTTCAACGTTAATTGCAAGTATAAACTAAATTTAACATACTTCTATGTTGTACACCATAGTCATAAACAATCAATGTATAAAGGACAAACCACAATTTATTGGTTTGGAACTTCTATCAAAAACTTAGTGGGTATAGAAGCTCATCCCTAGCCTTAGCTAATAAATTAGCTACTAATGCTCATATTAATTACAAAAATGTAACTAAGAATAAGGAAATACAATAACATACAAGAAAAAAATACATAGAACCAATTGTAGAGGAGAGAAATGGATTCTTCTCCCACTCTTCAACATAATACAAAAATAAAATATTAAAAAAAACTGAATTTTTAGCTCCAAAGATGGAATGATCCTCTTGTTTGATGAATTGAGGGCTTTATATAGGCTAAAGATTGACATCTTTTAGTCTATTCGAGCCCAACAATTAGGCATGTAAGATATATTTGATCAGATCATGAGGAAGGTGAGAATTTCCCATCAAAATATTGTTGCACGTCTCCCTGTTTTGTGCATAATCAGACCTAACCGGCGCCGGTTTCAGGCTTGACCGACGCCGGTCTTCTTTCGGCGCTGGGAAAATACAGAAAAATACCATAACCGGCGCCGGTTATAGAGGTGGACCGGCGCTGATTTGCTCTCGGTAGATTCGGAAATGTGGAATTAAATGCAACCGGCGCCGAGGGTAGACTGGCGCCGGTTCTCCACTGCAGTGCAATATTTCATTTTCGTTCCGTTTTACGCCCGTAGTTGATCCCGAAGTGCCTGTTCTTGACCCCTTTTGACTGTTGACACCCGTTTCTTCATCTTTTGATGCCTTTGTGTGGTTTTGCTCAAATTGGAATTTTTACCTGTTTCAGCTTTGAATATTCGTTTAAATAATCATAATTACCTATATAAAATATAGGTAACTATCGTGCTTATCAATAATATACTAGCAACACTTGAAACTTTTCATATTCATGAATTATAAAAGAGTTTCTAAATCCATTTAAACTTCTAAATTATTCCCAATTCTTTATTCCAAATGCATCATATTTTCTTTATTTTTTTTAAAATAAAGACTCCTGATGAATAAAGTGTGACATATTAACTTACTTATCTTAATTTTACTTACATTTGAGATTTATTAAACTTTATAAGTTTTTTTCTTAAACATATATGCTGTACAGCGACTAGTCTAATTTCTTATGACTTTGTGATGCCATTTTTTTAGTTTATGAATGATGATGTCTTTTTTTTTTTACATTTCAAAGTTTGATTTTATTTAGTTTGTGTAGTTGTGTGTTATTTAATTTATACATTTGTAGTTAGATTTTTTGTTAACTAATACAAAACTTTATTTTATATTTTTATTTTGAATTTCCACTATACTATGATGATAGTTTGAAAATTTTATTACCTACTAGATTTTTTAGAGTAGCATCATTTTTTAAGAATCGAGAACCCAGACTGAACCGGCCAGTTTCAAACAGGGCGGGTAAGGCTCGTTTCCTATTTCAAGATTTGATACACCTAGACCGACACACGCATTAATAATGTAAAAAGGGAGATTTCCCAAAATAGGAGTAATTGGAGTTTGGAATTCCAAACTAGAACCATATGTTTTTATTTCCGAAATAGGACTAACATGACAGTATTTACTGCCATCTTGTAGGCGCGACTGCCATATAGTTGCAGTACGATGCATTTAACACGAAATTATTTATTGTAATTAGTGACAAGTATTTTTCAATCATGACAATATTTTTTATACGTGACTGTAACAAGTTTTATTTCGAGAAGAAAAACATAGTAGTACTATTTTGGAGTTTCAAAATTCATTTACTCCTATTTAGGGCAATTTTCAAAAATAAAACTGTGTGGTTGAGATTTTTGCAGAGCAGAGAAAATTACTAGAATCATAAATTCTTTACTGAAAAGGGAAACTGACAAAGTTAGCAGGACATCCCAGAAAGTGGAAAGTTTGCAAAGTTTTAAAGGACAAATAGATTATTTGATGATATTTTTTTAAAATATTTTTTTGAAAAGGGAAAAGGGTCAAATAGGCCCTCAAATTAAGTTAAAAAGTGCAAATCACCTCTTATATAGGAGGCTCAGTCCGGCCGTCGCCATTTTGGGCGGTTCCTGGTGGAATTTTTTGGTGAATATTTTTTAGCATCTTCTTCATTAAGTCTAGTTTACCCATACCAATTTTCAGATAAAAATTCAACCGGAAAGACAGTCAAATGATTTTCTGAAATGTACTGCGCTCTTCAACTGCAGAGTTATCTTCAAAAATTCATTTGACTGCTTTCGCGATTGAGTTTTTATCTAAAATTTGGTATGAGTAAACTAGACTTAATGAAGAAGAAGCTCAAAAAATTTCATTAAAAAAATTCACCGGGAACCGCTTTAAATGGCGACGGCCGGACATAGCCTCTTATATAAGGGATGATTTGCATTTTTTAAGTTAGTTCGGTGGTCTATTTGACCATTTTTCCTTTTGAAAATAATAATAATACGAAGTAATAATAATCAATAATAGTAGTAATAATAGTAGTAATAATTCTGTCAAAAAAATAGTAATAATATTATTTTTTTTGATCATTAGTAATAATATTACGAAGTAATTAATTAATTAATTAATTAATTAATATATATTAGTCGTAATAATAAACGGGGAGCCAAAAGCGCCCAAGTTTGCGAAGCGGTACACCAAACACGGCACTCTCTCACAGCTCGCTCCACCAGATAAAATCGAGTCTCCTGGCCGTGTGATTCACACGAACCCTAGTGCTCATTTCATTCCTGACTGAGAAATTCTCAGTATTCAACAAATCCCACCCAGCAATGGCGTCTCGGAGGCTTCTAGCCTCACTTCTCCGATCATCCACCGCAAGCCGCGGTAGCTCAGTTTCCAGATCCGTCTTCGGAAACTCTGTACCCAGGCCTAGACATACATCGCGTGCATCCCCAGCGGGCTATCTCCTAAATCGAGCCGTTCGTTACGCTACCTCCGCTGCGGCCCCAGCTGAGAAGCCCGCAACGAAGCCCCCTTCCGGAAATGAGCCGACAGGGAAGATCACGGACGAGTTCACGGGTGCCGGATCAATCGGCAAAGTCTGCCAGGTGATTGGAGCCGTCGTGGATGTCAGATTCGACGAGGGTTTGCCTCCGATCCTAACTGCTCTCGAGGTTCTGGACAACCAAATCCGACTCGTGCTGGAGGTGGCGCAGCACTTGGGTGAGAACATGGTTAGGACAATTGCTATGGATGGTACTGAAGGGCTTGTCCGTGGCCAACGCGTTCATAACACCGGCTCTCCTATCACTGTGAGTTATCTGATATTGTCCTTGACTTTCTTATGTACAAAGGTTGTTGCTTTATTTTGTAAATAAACGGATTATGGCATTGCCTCGTGAATGCCTTTGTCGATTCAAATTGTTTTAGATCTTGAATTGGGAAATCAGTGATTCATCCACATACCACACATTTTCCAGACGCCATCTGTAAGTGGGCTAGCGATCAGCAATTCAGCGCATGTGCTTGTTAATCCGTTGTGATTGAAACGGCGTTTTTTTGTCATATTTTGTTTGTGGCTGAGCAGATTTCCATTTTGCTGCCATGCTTTGGATGTTCTATAATATTTGAGAGATCCCTTTTTGTATTCACTTATGTTTTCTGATTGTTTTTTGGAATTGCAGGTTCCTGTTGGTAGGGCCACCCTTGGTCGTATCATCAATGTCATTGGAGAGCCCATAGATGAGAGAGGCGAAATCAGTAAGTCTTAGAGTGCTTTTGAAAAGAAGTAATCCTATTATTAGACTTAACTAGTCTTATAAGGCCCACACTTTTAAAAAAATTGTTGCAGAAACCGATCACTATTTGCCAATTCATCGAGAGGCCCCTGCTTTTGTTGAGCAAGCTACCGAGCAAGAAATTCTTGTAACTGGAATCAAGGTATTCCACTGGTTGTCTCCATGTAGTTCCGTCACCAACCTTTTCAAAACTTAAAATGTTACTGTCTGTATAGAATTTTATTGTGAATTATATATATGTTGTCCATTGCTCAGGTTGTAGATCTTCTTGCACCATATCAAAGGGGAGGGAAAATTGGGCTTTTTGGTGGTGCTGGAGTCGGAAAGACAGTGCTTATTATGGAGCTGATTAACAATGTTGCAAAAGCTCATGGTTTGTTAGGATCTATTATGTGGCTTCATTTTTTTCAAGGCCCCTTTTGCATGCAGGTTGTACTTATCAACTGTTTCTTGACTTAACCATTAGGTGGTTTCTCTGTCTTTGCTGGTGTCGGTGAGCGTACCAGGGAGGGTAATGACTTGTACAGAGAAATGGTTGAGAGTGGTGTCATTAAGCTCGGAGACAAGCAAGTTAGTATGCAATTACCATGATCTGACATGGCTCTTTGCGTGGTTGAAAATAACATTTGTCAATCTTACTGATTTTTTCTATTTCTATGTCATCCAAATGTTAGAGTGAGAGCAAATGTGCTCTTGTGTATGGTCAAATGAATGAGCCCCCTGGTGCTCGTGCCCGCGTTGGACTCACTGGACTAACTGTTGCCGAGCACTTTAGAGATGCAGAGGGACAAGATGTGCTTCTTTTTATTGACAACATTTTTAGGTTTACTCAGGTTGGTCACTGAAAATTTCCTTTGCCTGAGCTGTGTTAGCAGTTACTTGATGCAACTTTTTATGCATATATCCTTTTGCCTAAGGTTCATTTGTATTGCTTTTAAGACACTCTTATTTATCTATGTTACTTAATATAACTTAAATAACTGAAATAAATATATTTGGTTTTTCTTGCAGGCCAATTCAGAAGTCTCTGCATTGCTTGGGCGTATCCCATCTGCTGTTGGTTACCAACCTACCTTGGCAACTGATCTTGGAGGCTTGCAGGAACGTATCACAACAACTAAGAAAGGTTCCATTACATCAGTGCAAGCTATTTACGTGCCTGCTGATGACTTGACCGATCCTGCTCCTGCAACAACATTTGCTCACTTGGATGCCACAACTGTCTTGTCTCGTCAGGTTATAACCGTTCATCTACTTTTTAGTCCAATATTCAATGGCGGACATAAAGGGGGTCCACCCCTATTTTTTTGAAGTAGGTATAATTATTCTAATTAGTTAGTAAATATGGTATACTAGGTACTCTTACATTTAAGTTCCAGTTTGAACAGGTATATATGAAATTAATTGTGGGCAGAAATTGTTTGAAATTTAATAAATCAGTTTTAGATATTTATTTAAACTCATTTCATGTAAATAGTTCTACATATAAGCTGGAAACTAATACATCTAAAATTTCTTAAAGTTTTTGTTGGATGTGACATTCTTTCATATTTCCCAAGTTAAAAACTGAACGTAAATTTCATTTTTCTTTGTATTTTTTTACTTCCCCACCAGTTTCTATGTTCTGAACATAGTTTAAGAACTTCAGTAAATCTTCTTATCATTCCCTTCACACTAATTAAGATATTTTTTGGGAAAAAGATCTCCGAGCTTGGCATTTATCCAGCTGTCGACCCCCTTGATTCTACATCCAGAATGCTTTCTCCACACATTCTTGGAGAGGAGCACTACAACACTGCGCGTGGGGTACAGAAAGTCTTACAGAACTACAAGAATCTTCAAGATATTATTGCTATTTTGGGTATGGACGAGTTGAGTGAAGATGACAAGTTGACTGTAGCGCGTGCCCGAAAGATTCAAAGGTTCCTTAGCCAGCCGTTCCATGTGGCTGAGGTTTTCACGGGTGCCCCTGGAAAGTATGTTGAGCTTAAGGAGAGCATCACCAGTTTCCAGGTAACCCTGCTGTTATTGTTTTGCTTTCAAAATTTTTTATAGCCTAATAAGGAATTTTTTGTTGATGCTTATGAATGAATGTTCAATGTTTTGCTAAAACTCAGGGCGTACTGGACGGGAAGTACGATGACCTTTCTGAACAGTCATTTTACATGGTTGGTGGAATTGATGAGGTCATTGCAAAGGCAGAGAAGATTGCCAAGGAATCTGCTGCCTAGATAGTAATGACTAAATCCTCCCTGGACATTCTGCTGTTTTTTGGGTGTTTTGGTTGATAGTCGCGAAATAATTCTGTGATGACAATGCCAATCTGAAAGATTTTTTAATCATTAATGAGACCGGGTGGTCGAAAGTTATTCACCCTTTTTTCTTATGTATTTCATGTGGAACCTAGAGATAAAGGTGTTTTTTGTTATTGCTTTTCACATAATAAGTGCGGTGAATTTGGCTGTTTTGTATATTATCCATATTGAGTGGTGGATTATGCCCTCATGATCTCATTATGTAACGTTTCACATTATTTTGATGTTATTTTCGTTTTAGACCATGTTCTGTAAACCAGAATCACTTAAATAAGAGATGCCAAAAAAAGTTCCCCAGATCCTTAATTCCCCATCCTCTTGTGATAAATTAAAAATAATAATGTTGTGGTTTGTCTACGTTCCTTTAACTGTAGGTTTGTAGTTAGGTTGGTAAAGCCTTTTTGGAGCGCTTAGTAATTGTAGATTGTGTTGATCAAATAATTTGCCTTTATAGTTCAATTAGGGATGGACTCGGGTCGGGCCTAGGCCCGGGCGGGCCGGCAGTTCAAAAATAGTGGACCTGGGACCGTCCCGGGTAGGCATGGATTCAGGCCCGGTCGGGCCGCCGGTTCAAGAAAAGTGGGCCTGGGACCGGCCCGAGGGTTGGACGGGTCCGGTTCGGGCCGGGCCACCCGCCCGGGTCACGGGTCGGGTCCGGTTTGGGCCGGGCCGGTTAATTTTTTTTTCATAATTTATATTTTATAGTTTATAGTTTTATACTTTTATACGAGTATTAAAAACAAACTTCAATTGCATTTATTTGAAATGAAATAGGAACTACATTTGAAAATTAAAACAAACTTTAAGAGATAAACATTTTGAAAATTGTAATCAATCGGAACTTCCCGCACCTCCCGATCGGCCAATCCTTTGGCTTTGTCACATGACTTCATATGTTTGATTGCCATCACGAATCCGCCTGAAGCTCCCATGTTACATTTTTTCTCGCACCATTTGCAAATTGCGTACCACATCCCGGTCTTCGGGTCCTTCTGCTTATCAAAATTATACCGTATAATGGCATCTTGATTTTCCATCTTAACTTCTTAAGTATAAACTATAAAGTAGATATATAAATAATAAATATAATATATTGGAGAATAAGAGAATTAGAGAGTAGAGAGTTAAGAATAGGATTTAGGAAGAATTGGAGAAGAGATGAAAAAATGTTTAAGATTAGGAGTATTTATAGGTTTTTTCACCCCCCACCCCCCCACCCCCCCACCAGCCAACCCCACCGGACCCCCCCTTTACCCAATTACCCCACCCAACGGCTATATAGCCGTTTGGGTTGTCCCCAGCCCCACCCCCAAAGCCCCAACGGCTAGTAGCCAAACCAAACAAAATAAAGTTTTTTTTTAAAAATAGACCCGGACCCGGGCCCGGGCCCGACCCGGCCGGGCCGGGTCACAAAAATCCAGAACCGAGCCCGCCCCCGCCCCTTCCCATCGGTTCGGGTCCATACTCGGTCCCGGACCGCCCGACCGGGTCGGTCCCGGGCCCGCACAGTACCGGGCCGGGCCCGCACAGTACCGGGCCGGGCCGGGTCACGGGCCGGATGGCCCGAACCGAATCCATCCCTAGTCCCGGGTAGCCACCGGGTCCGGTCCGGGTCCGGGCCGGGCCGGGCCTCCGGTTTGATTTTTTTTTTTGCTTTCCTAACCCCCCCCCCTCACCCCCACCCTCCCAAACCCCCCCAAACCCATCCTACCCATCAAGACCAACCCGTGTGGAACCCCAAAAATGAAAAAAAACAAAAAAAAACAATTTGGCCCGGACCCGACCCGGCCGGGCCGGTTCACCAAAATTGAGACCCGAGCCCGGACCCGCCCTACCCCCCGGGCCTAGGCCCGACCCGAACCCGGACCCGAGAACCAGGCCGGTTCCGGTCCCGCACAGTAGCGGGCCGAGCCGGTCCACGGGCCGGGTGGCCCGACCCGAGTCCAACCATAAGTTCAATAACAAGTAACGAGTAAGTAGTCATTTAAAACATGGCTAATGTGAGATTAGGGGTGGATTCGGGCCGGGTCGGGCCCGGTCGGGCCGCCGGTTCTAGAATAGTGGGCCCGAGACCGGCCCGAGGGTTGGACGGGTCCGGTTCGGGCCGGGCCACCCGCCCGGGTCACGGGTCGGGCCACCCGCCGGGCCGGGTAATTTTTTTTTTTAAATTTATATTTTATACTTTATAGTTTTATACACGTATTAAAAAACAAACTTCAAGTGCATTTATTTGAAATGAAATAGGAACTACATTTGAAAATTAAATAGGAACTATAATTGTTTTTAATCGGAATCTCCGGCATAAGTAGAGCCACCCTCTGTAGATTCATCCATAAAGTGTTGTGATGGAGTGATGTCAATTTCTTGAGCTCTACGTGCTGCTTTCAACCAATCGTGGTAGCATATAAGCATCTCAAGAGATTCAGCGCTCAACCTCGTTCTGGTTTGTGTTATAACATTGCCGGCCGAACTAAATTCTTGTTCCACGGCAACCGTTGAAACCGACATTGATAGCACTTGCTTAGCCATCTTTGCTATAACCGGGAACATTCTTTCTTTTCCCTTCCACCAGTTTAGTACGTCAAAATCATCATCTTCTTCAAAATCAACATCATAAGTTAAATACAAAGAAATCTCATTAATTGTGCTTTGTTGTGTAGCGGGAGTTGATTTTGTTTTTTTAATAAGATTGGCAAACGTAGATTTGAAAATTGATTTTCCTTTAGATGATGTTTGTGTCGGGGGAGGGGGCGCATTGCCATATTGTGCATGAAACTCATTGAATAATGCATAAAATATATCACTAACCTTGTTGTATTCTTTTTTCAGATCAATTGGGTTGTCCTCATACATTGGCAATGGACCAAAAAAAGCAGCATAATAATAATTCAAACATTCTTCTAAAGAACCAAGTCTAAAACGAGGATCGAGAACAAATGCAATACCATAAATATGCGGAATATGTGAATAATATTTTAAAAACTTTTCCTTCATAAAACCAGCAAAATAATTCACATAATAAGCATTCTCAAAATTTGAAAAAGCACCGGCGAGATTAACAGCTTCACGAATAAATTGGTTTGAGGTAGGTTTATAAACATGACTAAAAGTTTCAGTTGCATTATTAAAATATATCAAAGCATTACAAATTTTTTCACAGGTGTCGATCTCAGCCGAGTTTATAATATAGTTATCATATTGTTTCATAAAAGCAGGAAAATGTTGTTTATATCTAAGAAGAACTCCAATTAACTTATAGGTACTATTCCAACGAATAGATAAATCTTTTGGAAAAGCCACATATCTCTCACCTCTTTCTATCAAATAATCATGCCATTTTTTCCTAAGGTGTCCATTACCCCAAATACGTCTAATCCCCCCCTTGACTACCTCCAACGATGCTCCCAACGCTTTTAGACCATCTTGCACACATAAATTTAGAACATGACATGCACATCGTTGATGAAAAAATCTACCCATCAAAGAAGTAGAACCACACAATTCACGCAATCTAGGAATAGCAGCAGTATTATTAGTAGCATTATCAAAACCAATAGCAAACACCTTATCAATTAAATTATACTCAATTAAAATACGTTCAATCAAAATATAAATATGTTCAGCGGTGTGACGATCATTAAATTCACGGAAAGCAAGAACACGTTTATGCATATGCCAATCATTATCAATATAATGTACAGTCAGACCCAAATAATGTAAATTATGATAAGTATCCTCCCATATGTCAGAACATACAGTAACACGTCCATCAAAGTTTGCAAAATAATTTTGTAACCTTACCTTTTCCGCACCATAAAGCCTTGAAATTTCTTTCTTAACCGTTTTGCGACTATAACCTCTATATTGCGGATTTAAACAAGTTTGTGCATAATCACGAAAAGCAAGACTTTCAGAAAACAAATAAGGCAAATTTTCTTCAACAAGTAAGTTAGCCATACCTGTCAAATTTTGTGCATCATTGTATGAGAAATTACCAAAAGCTTGTTGGTTATTTGCAAACCTCGATATTTGCGTTTGTTTCCCCGTTCCGCCGCCTAATTTTGCATACTCCACCGGGTGTTTGGACTTAAGGTGTCTTGTGGCGGATCCGTATCCGCCGGAAATCCCCAAGCTATAGTTTTTCTTGCACCAATTGCAAGTTGCGGTCCAATTCCCGGTGTTCGGGTCCTTCCACTTAGAAAAATTATTAGCCATTAATTCAGATTTACTTTTTTTTGTACCTGTTTGGGATGAGGCTGCTTGGTCGGCGTCATGGCTGCCACCACCCTCCTCCTCCTCGTCGTCGTGGCTCTCCGGAATTGCTTCCTCCACATCGTCGTCCTCGTCCTCGAGCTCTTCTTCGTCAATGGTCCTCGGTTGGTCTTGAAAAAAGCGGGAATTATGTCGGTGCAATTCTTGTTCTAGTTGTTCGTCGGTCATCGCATCCCCATCCCTCCTTACGTAACCCGTATCAAAATCATCTTGACTTTGAGATGAAGAGCCAAGATGTGATTTACCTTTGCGGGATCTCTTCCTCGCAAGCTCGTTCGTTCGGTTGCGCTCGAGGTTACCCATATCAACCGAATATCTAGGACGATCCATCTAAAAAATGTAGCAATTAATAAAAAATTGTAAAAAACTAATTAACTATTTATCTAACTATTAATTCGAGTTATAGCAAATTAAGTAGTGAATTAACTAGTTTTGTGTACAACATATTTTTTAAACTAGAGTCAAATGTAGCAATTAATAAAAAATTGTAAAAAACTAATTAACTATTTATCTAACTATTAATTCGAGTTATAGCAAATTAAGTAGTGAATTAACTAGTTTTGTGTACAACATATTTTGTAAACTAGAGTCAAATGTAGCAATTAATAAAAAATTGTAAAAAACTAATTAACTATTTATCTAACTATTAATTCGAGTTATAGCAAATTAAGTAGTGAATTAACTAGTTTTGTGTACAACATATTTTTTAAACTAGAGTCAAATTTAGCAATTAATAAAAAATTGTAATTCCAACTATATTAATAAAAAATCGTAATTCCAACTATACTAATTAACTAGTAATTAAACAAGTATAAATAATAGAATAATTTCGTACCTCTTTCGGACTTTCGGTCTTTCGGATGGGAGTAATAGAATGACTTCAAATTAATTAGATATAATTCCAACTATATTAATAGATATAATAAATATATAAGTAATATATAATTAGATAACAAATATAAGTAATATAATACTATTTATATCTATTTATAGTTTATATAAGTAGATAATTAATATAAACTTGATGGAGTATATGGCCCGGGAACCCCCGGCCCACAGACTCCTACTACTCCAGCGAAGGCCC